ACTGATCAATGACTGAGGACATTGATCTGGGATCAGGAGACACTTCAGAGTAGTTGATGTAGTCTTACAGTAAGTCCATGTGTGTGTCTCTGCTCGTCTGTCCAACAGTGCGTCAGCATCTGTCCCGTCTGCCCACCATCGACCCAAACACCAGGACTCTGCTGCTCTGTGGTTACCCCAACGTAGGAAAGTCCAGCTTCATCAACAAGGTAAACGACAACATGGACACGTGGGTGAGGAGGAGGTGGTATGTTTTTAGCGTGTACTTGTTTGGAGTATTCTCTGAGAATATCGTAGTAAAATAAAACACACACATATTTGAATGATGGATGTGTTTCACCGCTGACGTTCCCGTTTCTGCGTCAGGTGACCAGAGCTGATGTGGACGTGCAGCCGTACGCCTTCACCACCAAGTCTCTGTTTGTGGGTCACATGGACTACAGATACCTGCGCTGGCAGGTAACACCCCCCCCCCCCATCTCCTCTATTAAGGAGAGACAAATGTCCTCAGAGCAGACGTCCTGAACCTGCGGTCTCTGTGTTCAGGTGGTGGACACCCCGGGGATCCTGGACCACCCCCTGGAGGAGAGGAACACCATCGAGATGCAGGCCATCACGGCCCTGGCCCACCTGAGGGCCGCCGTCCTCTACGTCATGGACGTCTCGGAGCAGTGTGGTCACACGCTGCAGGAGCAGCTGGAGCTCTTCAACAACATCAGACCCCTCTTCTCCAACAAGGTCAGAGCAGCCGCAGCGCCAGCCCGTCTGGACCGGAACTCCCCGTTACTGCGGTGGGTTCTGACTCCACCGTTCTGACGTCCGTCTCCTCTCTGTCTCCGCAGCCTCTCATCATCGTGGCCAACAAAAGTGACGTGAAGAAGATCAGCGAGCTGTCGGAGGAAGGTCAGGTGAGGAACGTCCTCCAGGACCAGTGGACCACACCGGTCTGGGTCCCTGAGGAAAAAAAATCCAGAGAAAAACCTCAGCCTCACAGACATCAACAGAAAAGTTTCACAGTAAAAGTCTCTGTGGGACTGTGTCCTGGCAACAACGTACCACCGTACTATAGACACGATGTACTACTGCGATGTACTGCGATACTATAGACACGATGTACTGTGATGTACTGCGATACTATACACACGATGTACTGTGAGGTACTGCGATACTATAGACACGGCGATGTACTGTGATGTACTGCGATACTATAGACACGGCAATATAATAATGTACTTGTAGTAAAACTGTCGGCAGTATCACCAAATATTGTGATATTTCAGTGTATTTTTCACCGCCGTCTCTTCCTGACGTTTCGAGTCGTTCTTCTTCTGTGGTGGTCGGAGGCTTGACTTGTGTTGACTGCTGCTTCCGTGTTGTGCTCAGAAAATCTTCGCAGAGGTGAGCGCAGAGGGAGTCCCTGTGATCGAGACCAGCACCCTGACAGAGGAGGGGGTCATGCAGGTGAAAAACGAGGTGAGGAGTCCAGACTGTTGCTCCAGTCCTAACTCTCTGAAGAGACGTGTTTTTCTTTAAACATCTTCACTGGCGTCTCAGGCCTGCGACCGCCTCCTCGCACACCGCGTCGACGCCAAGATGAAGGGCAAGAAGGTCCACGACGTCCTGAACCGGCTGCACCTGGCCATGCCCAACAAGAGAGACCAGAAGGTGAGCGGTGTCGGGGTCTTCAGGACGGGATCTGAGTGATCCGACCGCAGTCGGCTGATTTGGTTTTCACTCTGCTTGTTCTCCAGGAGAGGCCGCCGTTCATCCCAGAGGGAGCGCTGACTCGCAGGAGGGCCATGGAGGTGGACACCCCCAAACGCAAACTGGTACGTCTGGGGGTCTGGGGCCAGGACAGTAGAGTCCCAGGAATCAAACCTCTTTTTAGCATTGCCCTTCGTGGTATCATCGCCTGACACTTTTAGCTGCTGTTGCTAATTTCACCGTTAGCATTTCCACCTGTCTGATGGTTAGCTGTGTCGCTGTCGTCGTTTGATTCAAAGTGAATTTTCTTGCTTCAGGAGCGAGACCTGGAGATGGAGCTGGGAGACGACTACATCCTGGACCTGCAGAGTACGACGGTTTCCTTCTTCGTTCTCCTCTTCGTTCTGCTCTTCTCAAACTCAGTCATGATCAGTTCACGCTCATTTCCGGTCTTTCAGAAAGTGTTTGTTCCGTTTTGAGCTCATATCAAGTGTGTGTTTGCAGAGTACTGGGACCTGATGAACGAGGACGAGAAGAGCGATAAGATCCCCGAAGTCTGGCAGGGCCACAACATCGCAGACTACATCGACCCCAGCATCATGAGGGTGAGTCGTGGTCGATGAGACCGCCGGCTGCTTCAGTTAGTCACTGTTTAGGGCTAACCGTTAGACAACGACGACTGAATACTTGCTAACTTTAAGGGGCTAACCGTTAGACAACGACGACTGACTCGGAGCTGTGCTACAATACTTGCTAACTTTAAATGTCGTTAGGGGAACTTTTAGCAGTTAATGTCCTTTGATTGATAATATTTTGGCTAACATTTAGCAACTCCTAACCTTCATTGTTGTTGTGTTCCTTTCTTTTTACTACGTTTGAAGTTTTTCCAGTGGTTTTTATATAATGATAAAAAGCTAACTTTGTTAGTCAATGGGTAAATTGACTTCCATCTTCGCTAACCTTTAGCTTTCACTTGTGCTAAGAGTTAGCTTTCGTCTTGGCTAAAGGAAAAGATAAAAGACAAAACGTTGGACGTTACCTTTTACCGTGAGCTGATCTGAAATGTGATTGGTCAAACAGAAACTGGAGGAGCTGGAGAAGGAGGAGGAGCTGAAGGAGCGAGCCGGGGAGTACGACTCTGACGAGGAGAGCGAGGATGAGGAGATGCAGGAAATCCGCACTCTGGCCAAACAGATCCGTCAGAAGAAGCAGCTCATGGTCCTGGAGTCTAAGGAGAAGGACGTGCACGGCCCCCGAATGCCCCGCACCGCCACCAGGGTGGAGAGGAAGAAGCTGGAGAAGGAGATGAGCGACCTGGGTCTGGACATGAACGACAAGGAGGAGGTGATTACCAACAGTTAACTAGACGGTAGCTTAGAGTTAGCTAATGGAACACACAGTTGTCAGAAATGTAGAAAGACTGACATAAAAGTTTAAAGTTAGTTGGGAATAAAAGCAACGCCAACAACCGAATGTTAGCTCGAAGGTCATATTAAAGATAAAAGACAGCGCAACAAAAACAGAGAAGAAAATATGTTCCAAAATAAAGGTAGATTTAGCTAAATGTTTGCCAGGAATTTAGTCAAAGGATACACCTATATTTCAAGTTAATAGCAAAAACATACAACTAAAAAAACCAAACCCATTGTTTAAAATATCAAAAGTTTCA